TAGGAAACAGAGATCTCTGACTGGAACCAGGGCCAGATATAACCCCCAAGGCTGGTGCCTCAGTGACCCACTTTGTCCAGGTAGGCCTTACCTGGTAAAGGTTTCATAAGCTCCTCAAACAGCACCACCAGCGGGGATCAAATGTTCAAACATGCAAGCCTGTGGGGGCATTTCATATTCAGACCATAACAGACAGGACTTAGCCATAATGACAGGGTAATTGTTTAGATATGACCTAGAAGTGGGCTCAATGGAAATGAAGTGATTCTAAAGAGATGGGGCTGAAGTTCTGTTCTAAGCTCATTCACTTATATATATAGTGAGGAGTATATAGTATATAGCAGTATATAGTGAGGAGTTATCTGCTCTAAGAGGTACAAGAATTCAGAGTTTAATGAGGCTGGGCCTTGGTGACTTTGCAACCCAGTGAGGAGAACAGGTAACTCAAACTGGAATTCATAGTCTAATGAAACAGTATCCAGGGGCAGACGATGAGCTGAGCAAGAGAATTAAGACAGGACCTGTTCATTTGTGCAAACTTCCCACCTGAGCAGAAGTTGGCCCTGTAGAAGAGCCCAGGTGAGCATCCACAGATGGCTGCTCCTGCTTAGATTCCCTACCCCATGTCCTGTTACTCTGGCCATGACTGTCTGGACTCATGGTTCGAACACAAAAAAAGGACAGAGTGCTCTTTTAGTCAGACATAAGGATGCGAGCCACCTGTCATCAAAACTGCCCCACAGAGTCCCTTCGTACTGCTGTGATAGACACAGGCAGCAGTCACTCTATTTCTTTGAGTCTAAGACAGAGAATGGGACCAGAAGTCCAGGTAGCAGCAGAAACCGAGACTGTGTGAAGCAGAGAATTTCCAGAGCTACAGAGTATAGGTGTCTGCTAAGGAGGGGACAGGTGAGGCTCTAAACCCCACTGCTGGACCACAAGTATGTTCCTGGACCAAACAGTAGTTTTCTGATGACCTGGTTTTCATTGATTTTCATTTTGTTTTGAGACAGCATCTGTCCATGTAGCTCAGGCTGGCCTCAATCTCATACATCTCCCATCTTGGATGCTGGGACTACTGGTGACCATAGCTCCATGATTTTCTGAGTGTCCGTATTTCGAATAAATCCTCTGCATTTGTGGTGTGTCCTAGCAGCTCACACTCTAAAATCCCAAGAAACATGAGGCACTTCTGCTGCTCAGGCTTTGGTTCTATACGCAGAAGAGGGTACTCCACGGAGGAAGGGTCAGAGGCTCCTCAGAGGCAGATCAAAAGGTTGCATGCATATACGGGTGTGTATGCAACTGCCTATCCAGAAACGTCTGACAGTGGAGGGCAGAAACTAGCTACATCTTAAAGCAAGCACAGAATCCCATCACACTTTCCTTCCTTTCCCATGGTGCCCACAGTGCACAATGCAGGCCTGCGTGCATTCTCAGGAAGCGAGGGACAGCCAGGCAGACTCCAGTGCAGCCTGTAGGCTTGAGGAAAAGCACACGCAGAAGAGAGTAGCTTCCAAGAGCTCGAGGGTCTAGATCAGAGCGTCAGCATGCACATGGCTGCTAGGCTGGAAATCAGTTGATCTGATAAAAGTATAGATTTATGGTCTACCTCACAGCAACTGAATATCTAGTGAAGGGCCTAGGAATTTTATTAAACTTTTTATCTATTTATTTTTGTGTGTTTTGCCTGCATGTATTCCCCTGGGGCTATTAAGTATTAAGATATTAGGAAAGGAAGGAGATCATGGAATGAGGCTCCTGTTTCAGAGAGCACACCCGTGCTCAGATAAAGCTGACCTATAAACTGCTGTGGGAGTGACAGGAAAGGTCCCGGGTGAGGTGAAGCTAGAAAGCCAGAGCTGCTGTGCACGGGACAAACGGTGCGACTGTCCTAGTTAGCTTTAACTGTCACCCTGACAGCCTAGATTCATCTGAGAGGCAAGCCTGGATTAAGGGATTTCCCAGTGGGCACGTCTGGGAAGGGGCGGGGAGGACTGCCCTGATGGCTAAGTGACAGGAGGGTCCAGGGCACTGTGGGCTGCACCATCCTTAGGCAGGCGGTCCTGGGCTCCAAATGCAAGCTAGCTCTACACCAGCCTGGGAAGAAGGCAAGCAGCAGCGCTTGTTCTGGATTCCACTTCAAGTCCCTGCTTGAGATCCAGCCCTGACTTCCCTCAGTGATCGACTGTGATCTGGGTGTGTAGTCCAAATAGCCGTGTCCTCTCCTAAGATGCTTTCTGTGGTCAGTGTTTTATCACAGCGGCTGAAATGGAACTACAACAGGGACACATACTCATTTGGGAATCATGAATTTAGATAACTGAACACTGTGGATGGATGGGATTTCTGCGACTACCAGATTTTTTTTTTTTTTTTTTTTTTTGGTCTTTTTGAGACAGGGTCTCCCTGTAGCCCCAGCTGTCCTGGAACTCACTATGTAGACCAGGCTGGCCTGGAACTCAGAGATCCACCTGCCTCTGCCTCCTGTGCTGAGATGATTAAAGGCCTGTACCACCACGCCTGGCTTTTTTGGTCTTTTTGAGACAAGGTCTCTCCATAGCCCCAGGTGGCCTGGAACTCACTATGTAGACCAGACTGGCCTTGAACTCAGAGATCCGCCTGCCTCTGCCTCCCGTGCTGAGATTAAAGGCATGTGCCACCATGCCTGGCAACTGCCAGAATTTTTATAATCATCACAAGTGTTCCACAAGCACCAACTACACGGAAGAACAGCTACCAACTGTAAGGAAAAACAGAAAAACAGCGCTCACCGTGAACTTTAAATAGCAGACTACGTCTGTGACTGAACACAAAGCAACGTACAAATAAGCACAAATATGTTTAACAAAAATTTACAGTGCCCATGATGCATCAGCTAATTTCTAGATGACTTAGAATGTGGTTCACCAGAAGGTGACCTGAGCGAGTGTCAAAGCCCATTTCATAAGATGGTAAAGGCTGAGACTGGCAGGTTTAAAGAACTCTAAATAAGGATTTGGTCACAGGGCTCAGAAAGAAGTGCAGTTTGTTCATTCAGCACTCAACAAGTTTTCCCTTAATGTCTTATGTCAGGGAAGCTTACAGTCACTAGGAATGTAGCAGGTGAGAATGGCCTCTCACAGGAGGTTCACTCTGGTGGGAGAAAGAGATAAGAGAGTAGCTTAGTACATTAAAAGGTGCTAAGTGTTCTGGAGGAAAATAGAGCCACAGAGAATAGTGTTGGGGTTGGGGGAGTTGCAGTATCAAAGATGTTCTTTAAGGAATACCTCATTTAAGGAAAATAAAAAGACATTTGAACAAGATTCAAAGATGACAGAGGAGGCTTTGGGCATCCGTAGTGCCAGAGCATGATGGCAACCTGCCCGCTTCAAACACCAGGAACCAGTGCGTCTGAGAAAGTAAGGTATATTGGAGAAGGGAGAAGATAGGGGTTAGCCAGTAACTTAACTCTGGGCAGAATTTTGCTCCTATGTTAAGCCGGATGAGTGCTGATTAGGAGCCTGAGGCTGACTGAGCATGCTCTGACATGAAGGAAGTGCACACATTTTAGCGATGTGAACTTGGACTGTTTCTTACCCTCCCCAAATTTCTTTCTTCATCCGTGGAATAGTGGAAATTATTCTGACCCATGAGGCTGTTGTGATAATTAAGTATGCTGTGTGCAAAACATTCCAAGTGACTTGACATGGAGTAGGCAGTCTTTTTCTTTCCCTGTCTTCCCTCGGCTCCTCTGGCTACCGCTTGGTGCTTAGGAGAGCCAGAAGGGTAGATAGGAATGGGTGAGTTTGGTTGGCTGACATCATCGCAGGATATAATAACGGTTTCATGGGTGGCTGAGGCCCAATGTGGGCTGTGGGGTGGGCCATCATTTCTGACACAGGCCCTGCTAAGGGCTCAATCCTTAAAACTCTCCCAATGGAACTTTCTAGGTGTTTCACCCAGTCTCTGGGAATGCATGTTTAATCGCCCCTCTGTCTAACGTCTAACTCAATGTCAATTGATTAATCTCTGTCTTCTCATTAGCAGCTGGATGATTCCAGATTAGCTCCATGAAGAGTCTTAAGCACACCTTTGCCTGCCTGGGTTGTGGATACATGGAGGTCCCCGCTTGCAGAACTTGCTCTGGCTCCAAATCATTTAGCAAAATAACACCTCCAAGGAGTCATGGCCTGCAGGGGACAGGCTTTTGTTGGGGGTCCCAGGCCAGGCTGCAGGAGTCAGGGCTCTAGGCTATACGAGTCGAGGCCAGGCTGCAGGATCATGCAGGAGTCCGGGTTAGGCTGCAGGAGTCCGGACTAGGCTGCAGGAGTCAAGCGTGAGTCGGAGCTAGGCTGCAGGAGGCGGCCCGGGTGGCCTCGCACCCTGGGTGTCCGCTCCCTTATCAAGGCGCAGCAGACGACCCGAAAGGTGCCCGGGCTGCAGCAGCGCCCGCGGCCGGCAGAGGGCGGAGCGGCTCGGGCCGCGTCGGAGCACACAGAGGCGGGGCGCCCTGCAGGGCAGGCCCGGGATCTGGCGGCCGCCTGGGCCGCGGGGCCTCCTCCTCCTCCTTCCTGGCGCGGCCCGGCGCGCCCCCTCCCAGGCCCGCT